CAAGATAGAGCAGAGAGGGGGATTGAGCTTGCCCCAGTGCCTTGATGACATGCTCCAGGCCTTTCTTGGGTGGGGGTGAGAAGGTTGAGGGGCGTGGGTAGGGAGGAAGCATCCTCTCTTTCCTTGATTTCCTAGATGTCACTCTCTTCCAGCTGACCTCGGACACCTCTTTTGCGTTGCTCCTTCTCCTCTGCTCTCTCCTTAGGTTTGGTATTTCCTAGTGTTCTGCCATTGGCTCAGTGTTTATGGTCTACCTGGATGTTTCTTCTGCACCCATGCGTTCAAATACTATAAACATATTGTGTGTTTCAAGACGTTTTTTCCACCTGGATAGTGGGCAGATAATTCAGCTTCGCCTGTCCTAAACACAGTTCTTTATTTTCTTTGTAACAAACCTGGTCTTCCTCCTATATTACCCGCCAGCCTTCTGGTTAGCAGTCAAGTGCCTTAGGCACTATGCTACCAGAGCTCCCACTTACGAGAATAGTAAAAGGCTCTTAAGTTGGAAGGCTTCCAGTCAGCCCCCACTCCTCCCTGTTCCTTATCTCTTACCTCCTATTGATTCTCCTTCAGAATTGCTTCTTGTTCTGTAAGGCATTGCCTTGACTAGGTCTCTTCAACTCTTGTTGAATAACTGCTTCTATGCAAAGACTCTAGGCTTTGGAGTGTGACAAATCTAGTTGGGAATCCTGACTTGACTGTTTACTAGCTGTATGGCATTTGGCAGGTTATTTAACCTCTCTAAGCCTTAGGTCTACAAAATGGACACGCTCACGATTAACACATTTTGAAGATTAAATAAAATGATACATTTGAAGTTCTGAGCATACTTTCTGGCCCATCATAAGAACTCAGTAAATATTAACTCTTACTATTTTTATTATTGCTTCTTGTGACTTCTGTGAGGCCAAGTGTACCAAGAACTAGCAGTGTCTGGCACGTGGTACCTACTTAGTAAATAGTATTGCTTTCTTTCCTTGTGGCCTCTAGTTGCCCTGTACTCTAGTCTCTCCTTCAAAATGCAGCTGGATCATCTTTCTAGGGAGCTCCTGAGTGGCACCAACTTAAGGTGCCTGGCTGATACCCACAAAGTTGGAGGTTCGAGTCCACACAGGGGTACCTCAGAGGAAAGGCCTGGCCATCTACTTGTAGAAAATTAGCCACGGAAAACCCTCTGGAGCACAGTTGTGCTCTGACACACGTGAGGCCACCATGAGTTGGAACTGAAGTCACAGCAACTGACTTACCCTTTCTAAGGGGACAGTGGTGACTCAGTGGAGAATTCTCACTTTCTGATTCAGAGACTCAGGTTCGATTCCCGACACCTCGTGCACGGCCACCATCTGTCTGTCAGTGGAGGCTTCTCTGTTGCCATGGTGCTGAGTAGGTTTCAATGGAGCGTCCAGAATAAGACAGACTAGGCAGAACGGTGGGGTGATCCACTTCTGAGAATGAGCCAGTGAAACGCCTGTGCTCACAGTGGTCCACAACTGATTATGGGGATGGCCCAGCACTAGGGGTGATTCATCCGGACTCGATGGCAGCTAACAACAATCTGTCTAAAAACCAGACTGTTCCCATCATTTTCCTGCTTTTAGTTCACTGCTCATAGGAATAAGTCTGGGCTTCTCAGGCTGGCAAGCCAGGCCTTTCCCAGTCTGCCCGTCTTCCCTCTGCAGCCTCACTTCCCGTCATTCCTCCTCCTGCAGGCACGAGGCACTGCTCTCTCACACTCTGAATATGCCAAGCCCTTTACAACGTCAGGCATTAGACCTGCTGTTCTACCCTACTCTTCAGTTGACTCATCCCTTAAGGTTACGCCCCCATGAGCCCTGATTCTCCAGATCCTCTAGTGAGAGTTGCTGGCTTCTTCCTCTGTGCCCTGCAGTACTTGTTTATAGCTTTATTACAAGACTTCTTGAGTTGAAATTTCCTGCTTCTGTTTGCTCCCTCCTTTAGATAACACACTGCTTGAGGGAAAGACTTATGTTTGGGTCATGGTCACGTGCCTGGTCATGCCTGGTGTGATAGGAAGCTCAGCTTTTGGTAGACATTCAGTTAATGTTGAATGGTGGATGAAGAGTTCTGGAGACAGTTCCAAGGAGCACTTGCAGAAACAGTTTTAGTTATTAGTACTATTGGAACAAGGGAAGAGCCTCCTAAGTGATGTTTCTTAAAAGCACAGAATTAATTTGGGGTTTAATTTCTCACATGCTTATAAAGAATTCCTTCCAATCGCTTTGTTGACACCTGGAAAGCAAAGCCACAGACTTTGTTAGACTGCTCGCTGGGCTAAAGTACTTGACCTATAGTCAGACCTGAACAAACGAAACCCCTCTCTTTGAAGTGCTCAACCTTCTTCTGAGAAATCTGAGTCCCATCTGTTGAGAGCGCACAGCACAGGCTGGAGGCAGATGGCATCTTTGAGGTGTCATTTGCAGTTGTCATAGTGAATGAGCAGGAAGGAAAGACAAGAAAGAAAACCTTCCTGTGGGAGTCTCCATCCTCATCTCTTCTTGGGGAGCAACGGGCCCCAGAGTGGGAAGGAAACATGCTTTTCTGGCAAATCAGAGAGATGAAGGGTGGGATGTTTTCTTTTCCTTTGGGGCCAGGTGGCAAGTTAGAGAAGTGTGAGTAAGCAGAAGAGGCCAGAGCCCAAGGGCTGTAAGGGGCAGCAGAGACAGAAGGGGTCAGGAATATTTGGGGCTTGTTCATGCTAATAAAAGACCGGTGCCAACACCATTGTTAAGTTACCTAAGGGGGTGAACTGATAGGTTCTTTGTATTTCTTAGGATATCCGTGTCACAACTGTAGTTATTTATTGGATTTTAAAGGATCTGTACTTTGGAGAGAAATGTTGGTAAAGAGACCAAGGAATGCTTTAGACAGTCATAGGTGATCCTCTGATGTCTCTTCAGGAGTTTGCCTGTTTTTCACTCTCTGCCTCCATTTATTCTTTCTTGCTAATAGCTGGCATAGGTTTACCCAAGACCACGTAATGTGGGACACAGAATCTTGTAATGCTGCCAATAGGATGCTTTAGTAAAGATGCAAAATTTCTTTGGAGAAGAGAGATCAGTCTACCAGGGTCAAACCAAAGATGGCAATGGTTTTCAGTACAGGAGAAATGAGTTGGTCCTACAGGTGTTGAAGGTACTTTCAGGCAAGCTTCCATTCCTGCCTGGAGACAGGAGAGGTTTACCAAAGTCAGAGAAAGGAGCTGTATTGAAGAGTCATTTTCTGAGATAGAGAATTATCTTCCCCATTCTTCTTGATGAGTGTCTTACCTCACTCAGGCTTTCCAGAAAACAAGGCAGAATGCCTCTGTTTATTATGCAATAGGGGATAAGGTCCCAGGAAGCAGGATGAGGACCAAGGTGAGTGAAGCAGAGAAGGAGACGGAGCCAATGTAAGGATGCTTTACTGCACTGTTCTCCACTGGGTGCAATTGATTGCTCCGTCTATGGACTGTTCCTGGAGAAGCTGTAGAAACTACATAGTTGTAGGATTGCCCTTGAGGGAAAAGGGAAAGGGAAAAGATGTATCTACTAACTCTTGTCCCCATGGGGTGTAAGCTCCTCCACACTTCCATGCTTGGGCATGGGTGTCCCAGCTGGGAAGCTCTGGGACAGGAGGCAAGACATGGTCATGTTGTCAGAGCCCATGCAGAGCTGGAACAAGGAACAGGTGAGAGGTTTGGAAGGCTCCCTAAGAAGTGCCTGATTCAGTGAGAAAGCTTGAATTCGGGCAATTTGGTGAAAGGAGGATCCCCTTCCCCAGAAACAACAGCACTGTGACTTCTATCTGCGGGGAATTTTTTTTTTTTAAATATGCTGTTATAAATAGAAATGTTTTCTCAATTCCATTCTTATATTGTTCATTGCTAGCGTGCAGAATACAATTGATTTTTGTAGATTGATTTTGTATCCTGCAACTCTGCTGAACTTGTTTCTTACCTCTAATAGTGTTTTTGTGGATGCCTTAAGACTTTCCATATCCAAGATCATGTCATCTGCAAATAGAGTTTTCCTTATCTGCAGAGAATTTGATTTTAAAGGAAAAAAAATTAGTTCTGTCCTCCTTCCCATCTCAACATCTGCCCAGGTGGTTAACTGGGTCCATTGGAAATGGTGTCACCTCAGGGAACCAAGGCCCTGATACAGTTTCCATCTGCCTGGGTGATGCAAATGGTTAATGTGCTCGGCTGCCAGCCAAAAGGTTGAAGGTTCTAGTTCACCCAGAGTGCCTCAGAAGAAAGACCTGGTCGACTAGTTCTGAAAAATTAGCCAGGAAAACCCTGTGGAGCACAGTTGTTCTCTGACACACATGGGGTTGCCATGAGTCAGAATCCCCTCATTACTACTGCTTACTGGTCTCAACATGCAGAATGTTTCAAAGGAATAGGACAGCCCCAGGAAATCACTGTCTTCCTGATAGGTCAGGATTAAATAGCTTCAGTTAACAGAGTTCCAGATGTGTTCAGTAACCTCGCAGAGAATTCCGTTTACTCAGAGCTGTTCCTGAGGAAAGGGCCTGCCCAGTGATGCATGCCACTTCCCCTCTTGGGAACAACAGTGACCTGAAAACAAGCATGCTCCATCATCTGGTTGGGGGAGGAAGGGAGAAGCTGATCCTGTTTGGGCAACTGCATGGAAGATTGAGGTCTCAGCTCTGCGCCCTCTTTCCATTCCACCTGAGTGGAACACCACTGGCATCCAGTGGCCTGTCCGACTAATCACAGGTTGGAATTCCTACCCGTACTCAAGCTGGCCGTTTTGCTCTTCCTTCAAGTCAGGCTAGGCTCATTCATGATGTAGAGAGGTTGGGTGATTGGCCTGGGACAACTTGAGTCACTCTGGATCAGAGTGTGATTAGTGATCAGCAGAGATAGCAGCTGTGCAGGTAAACTGAGGCGTGTTCTCTAACAGTGGTCTCTGTTAGCATTTTTCTGAAGCCCATTGATGCTTTTTGTGAGTGGACTTTGTCTTTTTCTGTTTTAGAAATAATGATGGAAATTAGTGATGTATTAGTGTTTAACAACACCTGCGTGAGGTGGAAAATAAACCCAGGAGGGATGAATGCCAGGATCATATATGTGGTAAGTAAAATGGCCGACTTCTTCCCCTAGGACAGAAATGGTAACTCCTGCGAATACAAGTCACAGGGACTTGTTTCCATAAAAGCTTTCCGGTGGAGTTGCTTTCCAATCCCATTGTCATTTTAGAGAGTGAATGGAATTTTTGAAATACCGGATCATTTTTTTAGTTTACATTTTGTCGTTAATATTTGTAATTTGACAGGGTGTATGTGGGGGTGTTTATATTTGGCATTGTCATGAATGGTCGTTTCCAAGCTGTGTATTTCATCCCCCAGAGCAAGTGGAGACATCTGCTGACTTGGTGGCAAGGTAGCAAGTGGTCCTCAGGCTGCGACTGCCTCCATTGCTGGTCATTTGTGTGCAGGATAGCACTCCCTAGGGAGACCCTCATTTTATGCCACTTCACAGGGTTTCTTGATGACTAGGCTGGCCAGACTTGGTCATCAGACACCTGATGATGGAGGTGGATCACATTCATCGTCCCTGGTTGAGGAGTGTGGTATCAGAATGGAGAAGTAGGTGAACAGGAGCCAGCGGCACAAAGGTCTCTCCCAGGTGTTTCATCTGGAATCATGGTGGGTTCACTTGTCTTTTTCCCTCATCGAGATATCCATTAAAGGACAACGGTTGGACCCTACGAAACCCTTTCACAAGGAGACAGTCAACTTTACCACAGACAGCAGGACCCCAGGAGTGTGCCTAGACCTGTTCCAAGGCACCAACTATACTGTGAGCATTTCTGCAGCCTCTCCCAGACGCTCTGTGCCAGCCTTCATTGGATTCCAAACAGCTGGTAAGTGAAAGTGAAGTCTGTCATTTCTTCTAGAGGGTGCTGAGTACGGGATGTGGGAAAATGTACTTCAGAATCAACCATGCAAGACAGGTCATGTTTGCTTTCTGAGATTGGTAGCAAGTGGGATGTAATTGCCCCAGGGGTCAGACCAGAGCAGGTCTAGTAGTGAGATTCCTATCCTATTGGTACCAGGCTGAATGAAGGCTGAGGTCTTGTTTTTCAGATGGGAGCACTGGTTGACGTTAAGGTAATAATTAAAAAAAAAAAAAAAGCGAAAATCGAACTCACTGCTGTTGAGTTGATTGCGACTTATAGTGACCCCTCCTTGGGTTTCCGAGGTGGTATCTCTACAGAAGTAGATTGCCCAACCTTGCTTCCAAGGAGTGGCTGGTGGGTTTGAACTGCCAGCCTTCTGGTTAGCAGTGAAGCGCCTTAGGCACTGCGCCACCAGAACACTCCTAAGGTAACAAAAAAGCATTTAAAGGCGAGATCATTAGTTGATAATGCGGTGAATTCTCCATTGTCCAAGGCAGTGGAGGGTAGCCATGTGGGTTCTCTTTGGTAGGACACTCAAAAGTCATTTCTGGCTTGTAGTTATGAGAGAGGAGAGCCAGGGATGCTGGGCCAGAAGTTTTACATCCAGGATGGGAGCTGACCCCGGAACTGATTGGGGTGGGAAATCAAGTCGAGAGCAGCCGAGTGGATGGGAAGAGTGGTCCTAGGATGCAGGAGGCAGCTGGTGGGTGAAAGGAAGAGTAGTAGACAGGAGGAAACTTCAAGAAATAGAAATATCATCCACTTGGAAGGGATGTAGGAGATCCTGAATAGAGAGGGAGAACAATGTGGAACAAAACTCAAAATCATTTGGAGGCAAAAAAAAAAAAAAAAAAAGATGGTTGGGACCAAGTTTGCTGGTCCAATAGAGCCTGGTGGAACCACTGAGACTATGGCCCCTAGCTGCCCTTCAGGTCTGGAATTGAACCCACACCTGTGGTTACCAGCCAAACAATGTACAGGCATGTGAGTTAAACATTTACCTCAAGTAGACACACGCCCTGGAGAGAACAATCATGGGAGAAAGAAGGGCAGCTTATGCACAGGGAGACAGTTCAGGGCGCAGGAGAGTATGGAGGGATGGACACTGGGAAGAGGTAACTATGGGGAGGAAGTGGGAGGGGAGCTGCTGCATTGTGGTAAACTGTGGTCAATGACATGAGACAAAGTATATGTGAACTGCTGTATGGAAAGTGAATTTGCTCTGTAAGTCTTTACCCAAATCACAATTAAAAAAAAAAAAAAAAGAAATAGAAATAAACGTCATTGCACAAAGTCACTTGGATTGTTAAAACAACATTGTGACAAATACAATAAATTCTTTCTTTTTCAAAAGAGAATTCTGGTTATAGGGTATCAGGACAAATTAAATACCTTATAGGCAAGCTTGGGAGCTCTGGTAGCATAGTGGCTAAAACACTTGACTGCTAACCAGAAGGCTGGCGGTTCAAACCCACCAGCCACTCCTCAGAAGGAAGGTTGGGCAATCCTACTTCCATAGTGATACTGCCTTGGAAACCCAAGGAGGGGTCGCTATGAGTCGGGGCCGACTCGACGGCACATAACAACAACAACAACATAGGCAAGCTTTAAGATACTCTCGTGGTGTAGTGGTTAAGGCATTTGGCTGCTAACCAGAAGGATGGTGGTTTGAACCCACCAGCTGCTCCACAGAAGAAAGATGAGGCAGTCTGCTTCCATAAAGATTTACAGCCTTGAAAACCGCTATGAGTTGCGTCTCGATGGCAGTGGTTTTTTTTTTTAGGCAAACCTTCAGAAGCCTTTAGTGTCATTTATTATTTTTGAGCAGTTGAGGTAGTTCTCAACTAGTTTTTTGATGTCCCATCCTCAGATATTACTGCCACTAGGTATGAATTTGGTAGAAACAATTGAAAAGTCAGCCAGTCTTAACAATATAAAGCCAACTATGAAATTGCACTAATAAGGTCTCTGGGTATTTACATATAAGTAAAACAAAATTATTTCTTTCTAAATAAATAATATGTAGGAAGAGATACTGTAAAATTAATATGGTAACTAGTTAGAGAAACTTTCACAAATTTAATGATAAACTTCCACAGATTTATTGGGGCTAGCTCTTCTTAAAACATCATCCCAAGATTTTAAACTCATTTGTCACTGCCCTGTCTGAATGACAATTTGCTGTTTAGTATTAACTGTTTTTATTAATACGTCTTCTCTTTACTTATTGACTGTCTCATTATGTGACATTTCACATTTACAACCATAGTAAAAAACATACTATCTGGCTGTTTGAGCAGTAACCTCAGCAGGTGAGGAGCCAGGTTAACAGTGGCTATGAGGGTTAAGGTTATGTGTCAACTTGCTGGGCCGTGCTGCTCAGAGGTTTGGCAGTTGTGAAATGACGGAATTTCACAGTTATAGAATCCTCCATTTTGTGCTCTGATGTGGTCATCCTCCATTTTCACTTAATGCCAGTTTCCCTTCTAAAACATCACCCCAAACAGAAATGCTGTACCCATTAAACAAAAACTCCCTAGTCCTCCCCCAAGTCCCCCATAAACTGTAATCTACTTTCTGTCTCTGTGAATTTGCCTGCCCTAGATATTTCATGTAAGTAGAATCTTAACAATATTTGCCCTTTTGGGTCTAGATTCTTTCACATAAAATAATGTTTTTAAGATTTGTCTATGTTGTAGCAAGTATTAGGACTTCACTCATTTTTATGGCTACATAATATTCCCCTGTCTGTATACACCACATTTTGTTTATTTATTCATCTGTTGATGGACACTTAGGTTGTTTGCACCTTTTGGCCACTGTGAAAAATACTGCTCTGAATATTGGTGTGCAAGTACCTGTTTGAATCCCCGCTTTCAATTATTTGGGGTATATACCCGGGAGTGGAATTGCTGGGTAACATGGTGATGCTATGTTTAACTTTTTGAGGAAGCGTCAAATTGTTTTACACAATGGCTATACCCTTTTACACTCCCACCAGCAATGTGAGGGTTCCAGTTTCTCCACATTCTCACCAAACTTGGTTTTTTGTTTTGCTTTGTTTTGATAATGCTATCCTAATGAAGTGGTGTCTCATTGTGCTTTTGATTTGCATTTTCCTAATGACTAATCATGTTGAGCATTTTTTCATGTGCTTATTGGCCATTTCAATATTTCCTTTGGAGGAATGTCTATTTAAGTCCTTCGCTCATTTTTAAAAAGGGTTGTTTGTCGTTTTGTCTTTGAATTATAGGAGTTTTTTATATATTCTAGATGCTAGACCCTTATCAGATATGTGATTTGCAGGTATTTTCTCCCATTCTATAGGTTGTCTTTTAACTTTTGCAGTATCTTTGTCTACTTTTTCTTCTTAACTGTTGTTTCGATAACACCACTGTTAGGTGTACTCTAGGTGATGGCATATATTGGGAAGCTTTCTGAGACCAGTTTTTAGTAGATAAGTTAACTAATTTGTGTTATTACTATTTGTGATATGATTTTCCTTTCTCCTATCATCTTGTTTTTATTTTTCCTCTTTTTAATGCTACTTTGCTATTTCCTTTGTTGTCACCTTTACTCATTTGAAAAATACAAGACCCCTATTTGGTTGCGTACTCCTCTGATTATATGTCAAGACTGAAATGTTAGATTCTTCCTGAATAAGAAAGGAAGTCAGCATTCTTTACTTCCTTTTATTCCTTTCACTCCTACTTCCCTTAGTAGTTATTGGTTTCATATAACATTTTATTCTAGTTTCTTATTTTTATTCTTAACATATATTATGTCTTTAAAGATTTTGTTTTCACACTGATTTATAACAAGATTTATAGCGATTTTTAAACTTAGGTATGGATCGGATAGTTGCAATGTTTACTGTCAGTTCTCTTACACTAGTTTGGTATGTTGTTAGGTGCTTTTGAGTTGAATCCAACTCATTGCGACCCTATAGGACAGAGTAGAACTGCCCTTCTTGTTTTGCTGTGGTGCGTGTGTGTGTGGGGTGTGTGTGTGTGTGGCGATTCAGATGTCTCCTATGTGGGATTTCCTGTCTGTCCTCATTGGTTTTCCATTTTCTCCTTTTTCTGTCTTTTTTTTTTTTTTTTTTCCATTTTTTTCCTCTGCATTGTGTGAGTATTATTCTGGTTACTTAGTGCCACTCTGACAAGAATATACCACAAATGGGATGGCTCTAACAAACAGGAGTTTATTCTTATAATTTGGAAGCTTTAAGTCTGAGTTCCAGGTGCCAGGCTATAGAGGCTGGGTGAAAGCCCCTCAGCCTTGGGCTTCAGCTCTGCCTCCAGCTCCCAGCCCACTGAAGCTAGAGGCTTTCCTTCACTCAGATGCTGGCTGCTGAGATTGACAAGCCCAAGGCTGACAAATAAAAAGGCACAGTCCCAATGTTACCTAACCACACGGCGGGCCATTAACTCAAGTCCATTGAAAGTCCCAAGGTTGGCAGAACATGGCAGGCTGCTGAACAATGACGCAGTTACATGCAGGGTCCAAGTGTGCCATTAAGCTAGAGACTATCCCCAAGGCTTCTCCTTATACACAGGAAGCAGACCACATCCCTAGAGCAGCTACTCAGCTGCTCCCAGTAGATCCCACCATGGAGTTATTACTAGTCTCTTCATGGAGAATACTACATCCAGCTACCCAGCCACTCAACCAAGCCCACCCAAGTTGACACACAAACTTAACTACCACAAGTATGTAACAAATTTGTTCTCTATATGCATGTATGTGTATATGCAGTTATGTGCTGACATTTCTGATCTTTACCATGCCTAATCCATTTTAAATTTTATTGTTACATTTTCATTTATTTTATCTAATTCTCTTTCCATTTCTGCATCTCTTTCAACCATTTCCTCCTCTGCTGTCACAGACTCTTATCTTCTCATCCTTTATCTCTCGTTTAAATCCATCTTTAAAATTTTTCATTGAAAGTACGGAACAGATGCTCCAAATTTTGCTATTACTTTCCTCAATAGTTTTTTTTTCAAAAGTGTGCTCATTCTTTGCTGCCTAAGCACTATCTCCCTCTCCTTTGTGGGATTATTTTGTATTTTTTTGTTGGCTTCTAGATTATGGAATAAAAAAGTTCTGTCTAGGTCTCAAACCTGTTGTTGTTGTTGTTATTTGCCATCGAGTCGGCCCTGACTCATAGCGACTCCTCCTTGGGTTTCCGAGGCAGTATCACTACGGAAGTAGGATCGCCCAACCTTCCTTCCGAGGAGTGGCTGGTGGGTTTGAACCGCCAGCCTTCTGGTTAGCAGTCAAGTGCCTTAGGCACTATGCTACCAGAGCTCCTCCTGGTCTCAAACCTAAATGTATGGAATTTCTTTTGATCTGACTTTTATTGTATAATATTAATATACTCATCTCATATCTCATCTGGAAGAATTTACTACTTTCATCCGGTTGGATGATCCAGTGGCTTCCCAGGGTGGGACAAACGATTAAGCTGTTGGCTGCTAACTGAAAGATTGGCAGTTCAAGTCCACCAAGAGGGAAAAAAAGTTACTTCTGAAAACCCAGCCACTGAAAACCCTATGGAGCGTGGTTCTACTCTGACACATGGGGTCACCAGAGTTGGAATCACCTCAGTAGAACAGGTGCCGGGTGGAGGGTAATCCAAGGACCTGGGCTGTGAGGAGAGGCTGTGAGAAAGCCCACTGCCTTGCCCATTATTTCCGAGCCCTTTGCTGTCTTGGTTGGTGAAGATGTTGCTCTTCAGCCTGCTCAGCGTTTCTGGCTCCTCTGTGGTACTGTAGCCTCTAGAGGCCGGAAGACTCCCAGTCCCTCCTACTGTCAACTCAGCCTTCCTGACAGGTGGACCTGCAGGTCTCCAGGTCTCCTTTTAGCCATCCTTCCCTTTTACTGGTCTCCAGTAAGCAAGAAAGGATTATTTTATATCCATATCTATCTACATCTCCTGATTACATGTCAGAATTGCCCAGAGAACTTTAAAATTACACAGATACTCAAGTTTAACTCCAGACCCACTGTGTCTGAGTGATCTGAAGTGAAGTGCACATGATTCTGTGTGAATCGTGAAGTGATTCTGAGTGCACATCAGACTCATGTGCACCGAGGACTGGGAACCACTGGGCTTGTAATTCCAGCTACAGGATTTTTTACTTACTTGTCCTGTGCCCTGTGCTTGCTTCCAGCTCCCATCTCTATGGGTACCAGTTCTTCTCCATGTCCTCTGTTGAGACTTTAAATCCACGCTCCTTTCCTTGGAAAGAAGGTTCCACAGTAGCTCTTTGTCTTTTGTCAACCTGGTCTCTTCCACTCCGTGCTCAGCAGAAATGTCATCATGTTACTGCCTTGTGTATGACAACCAATCCTTCTTTCCAACCCAGATGCAAATTTTGACCTATTTTTACTTATTCTCAGTCACTTCTGTCAAGATTGGGGTGGTAGGTGGGAGCCAGATGCCTTTGTTCACATTGCCATTTTCCTTAGAATTCAGACGGTAATCACTGTGTTCTGTGAGAATCATGTTGAGATGGGAACTATGTGGACAGGGCTTCTGCTGATGTCCTGCTTGTATGTAGACATACACCATACCTGGTGTTTTGTACATGCATTCATACACGCATACATTTCTTACTTACATACATACATCTGATCATCCTGAAAACAATATGTACACATGTGGCAATTTTCATTTCTGATATTTTTGTTAAATCTTTAAAAGAAAAGTGAATACAAAGAAGAATAATATAATAGGTCTTCAAATCCTCTCTCTCTCATTTTCACATTTAATTATAACTAGAGATATTTTCTCCTGGTTAATTGCCCTGTGCTACTTATATCAGTGATATTTAAAATGTTGTGGACAGTTCTGATTCTGACTGAAATAACTTGCTATAATTTTTACTTCTTAGGTAACAAGTCTCCTTTGGGGGACATATACATAAAATGTGATTATAAACTAGATTCTCTCTGATAGACACTTAAACTTTCTCTCATTGGTAGAAAACATGTGGGCTTTGTCAGTAAATTTGCTTTTCTTTGAGAATTACTCATGGTGTTCCTGGACTTTCTGTAAGTTCTTTAATTCACTAATAACAAACTTCTTCTTTTTGACTAATTAAGAAAGGAGAACATTGAAAGAATGAATTGGACTACAGGAGGCATGAAATGACTTTTCTACACAGTGGTTGAAGCAAGTCTGCTTTGTAATTATTTTTCTGCCTTGGTACCCAGCTGTGAGCGGCTCTTGAGACCCTCTCTGCTGTGAGAATCAACATCCTCTTTCCTGGTCATCTATTTTCCAGCATTGTTCTGGGTTGGAAAGCACCCTCCCTGAGAGTTCTAATCCATGATGTTTGCCTTTTATCCACCCTTTTCCTAGTTCTCAGACTTTCTGTCTTCTGCTTACCTTCATGACATTTTGGTTTTTTGGTGTGATCCAAGTGATAGGATTAGCTTTCTAAAAATATCACAGATTTATTTGTTTGCAGAGATCTTTAACATGCATATTTTCTTTGATTCTCTAGAAAGCCTTATGGAAAGGAACTCCATTATCTTGATTTCACAAATAAGTAAACTGAGGTCCAGAGAGGTTAAGTTACTTAGCTAAGAAGTTGTAGAGCCAGGACTTGAAGTTAAGTCTGCTGATGGCTGATTTAATACTTTTCCTGTTAAACACCATACACTTTCTTGAGATGTCAGATTCTCCATTGTGTTTGGCTGTGATATGTTTTGTTAAGATAATGTGACCTTTCTATATATTCTTTCTTATCTTTCAGAAGGTGATATCTTAGAAGATGATGGAATTTTCAATATTTCGATATTGAACGAAACTTGTTTGAAATTGAAGCGGTCTTCTAGGAAAGTTGGATCAGAACAAATGTACCAAGTAAGAAGATCTCTTTTGCTACCAAAGAGTTATGTCACTTAAAAATTTGAGTGTTCTACAAGTGAGGGTCCAAAGTATTTAAAAACTACCAATGAAAAGAACTTCCAGAGAATTTGTGATTATAGTTTCAAAAGTTGGATAAATGCAAGTGAGGAACTATTTTGAAGAGAGACACTGTATTTTGTGACTTGTTTTAACTTTTCCTTTCCAGTGTTTTACGTTTACTATGTTTTATTTTAATGCATTTCCTCATTACAGCTTACTCTGTCATTAAATAATCTGATTTTAAGAAACCCACTGCATGGCTGTTGCTTTCATTTAATCTGAGTTTTTGTTGTTGTTGTTATGTGCCGTGGAGTTCAACCTGACTCATAGCAACCCCTCCTTGGGCTTCCGAGGCAGTATCACTATGGAAGTAGATTGCTCAACCTTCCTTCCTAGGAGTGGCTAGTGGGTTTGAACCGCCAGCCTTCTGGTTAGCAGTCAAGTGCCTTAGGCACTACGCTACCAGAGCTCCTTAATTTGAGTTTTTAAACATCATGAATCTTAAGTAAAATTTCAGTTAAATTTAGGTAGCAACTGAGCTTATTTTTGTATCAATTTTAGTGCCTTGCATATTATGTGGCAGAGAGTAGAATCAGTACATATTAAATTAATTCATTCAATAACCACTTAGAAAAACATCATGATTAAGACTTGGAATGATAAATCAAACTAATAGAAACACACACATAAACAGGCAATTATAATATGGTACAGTGAATGCTTTGATGAAGAGGAAATAGATATGGAAAGGGAGCTAGAGTGTTGTCCAGCTGTAGCTTTTTTTACTAGAGGCATAGACTACCCTGAGTCCTAAAGGAAGGAGTAGGAATTAACCACATAAAAGAGGTAGGGTGGAGGCGAAGAGTGTTCTACAGGCAAACAGAATAGCATATTGGGTAATAGAAATGGTGGCTCTCTCAGGAAACAGAGAAACCAGTGGGGAGCAGAAAGAGATGAAGCAAAATCTAAGCAGGTTCAGATCACAAAAAGCCCCACGTGCTGTGCTTTGGGGTTTGGGTTTTATTTTGATTCCTATGTGGAAACCACCGAAGAATTTTGAGCTGGGAATGAAGTATTCAATTTTCTGTATTAGAAAGAATGCTGGGGCTAGAAACATATCCAAGTGCCCAAATAGTTTAACTCAAGATAAACATGATGTTTTAAATCAGCCAAGAAAGTCAGCTGAACTTGAGAAATTACATTAATTGTATGGGACAATTGATTAAGTACTTGGTTAAGAATACAAATAATTCTTACCTCAGACCCTACATAAAATGATTACAGCGTTAATTGGGAATAAAAAGAGTGAAAGCTGAGGATGAAAATGGACAGATTTGATTACTGAGAAACAAAAATCTGTGCATAGAAACTTTTGTAGACAAAATTTTAAAAAAGTAAAGGGAAATATATATATGCTGGGCAAATATTAATTTATATTATATCTGAAATGCTCCTAAAAAATCCACTGGAAAAAAGTGAACATTCAAAAGTAGATTGCAAAAGAGCATGTAACATAAGAGCATGTAACATAATGTCAAAACATACATGAAAACATGCTATGCTTTACTAGTAAGAAAAAAACATAGAAATAAACCATGAGATGCCATGATTTGCCTGTAAACTTGGAATAATGACTGGTAATACCCAGCATTCTAGGTAGTACTCTTATAACACTTAAATTAATATGACTTTTCTGGAATAGTTCCTTGTTCATTTCTAACTAGAAATGTACTATAATTAACCATCCTGATATATAGAGGAGGGTTAAGCTGTAGAGATGTTCTCTGAAGCTTTCTTTGTTACAGGGGAAGCTAGGAATCACTTCAAGGCCAGTCACATCATAGGACACTGTACAGACATGAAAAATGTTGTACTTAACCCTGGAAAGCCTTCACTGTTGCTAACAACACTCTTGCTGAAATAATATCTGTTTTCCTGCTGTTGGTTTGACCCCTCTCATTCTCCTGCCACAAGAATCCCTTCCTCTGCCTTTCCTTTAAGTGTGGATTACTCTCAAGGTCATGCCTTGTCATTCTGTACCCTTTCTTTGGGTGTTCTCACCCAGTCTCTTGCCTGCCTTAACTGTCTGCTACATCTATTTCTTCAGGCCTAATCTATTAAGGAGCTCTGATGGTGCAGTGGTGAAGGCATTTGCTAACCAAAAGGTCGGTGGTTCAAACCCACTAGCCACTGCACAGAAGAAAGATGAGGCTGTCTGCTTCTGAAAAGATTGACAGCCTTGGAAACCCAATGGGGGTCATTATGAGTCAGAATCAACTTGATGGCAGTGAGGTTTTTTTTTTTTTTTTTTAATCTATTCTATTAGGACCCCTGATGACATAGTGGTTCAAGTGCCCGTCTGCTAACTAAAATGTCGGTGGTTTGAACCTACCAGCCACTCTCTGGGAGAAAGATGTGGCGGTCTGCTTCTATAAAGATTTATAGCCTCAGAAATCCTATGGGGCAGTTCTGCTCTGTCCATTAGGGTCTCTATGAGTTGGAATTGATTTGATGGCAGTGGGTTTGGGAATCTATTCTATTAGTTCTAAACCCTGTACTCTTTAGCCAGCTTCTTGTGCTCTCTTTTACATTATGTCTTTCCACAAGCCACCCTGCAACTTACAGTGTTCTTCCTTCTCTTATTCCACCTGGCTAACTCCTGCTCATCCTTCAGGGCTCAGTTCAATCATTGCCTCTGGTAGAAGACCCTCAGTGACCTCCTTCTCTAGCTGCTTTTGCTATCTGAAGTGCTGTTTTCTCCCCTGACCTTTCACAAAGGAGCTCTGGTGCTACAGTGGCTAAAGCATTCAGCTGTTTCAACCCACAAGCCACTCTGCAGGAGAAAGATGAGGCGGTCTGCTTCCACAAAGATTTCCAGCCTTGGAAACCCTATGGGGCAGTTGTACTCTGTCACATAGGGTCACTAAGAGTTGGATTCGACTCAGTGGCAGTGGGTCTGGTGTTTCTGGGTGGGACCTTTCACATTCCCAACTCACCTGATTTGTGCTGATTTCTCTTTTATTCCACAATTAAGATGCAGAAGACTTCCTTAATTCTGAGAATTCTCAGTTTCTTAAAGCTGTCCCTTCTGAGTATTCCTACAACCTCATATATAATAAGACTTATCCCTGGGTATTTTATTTGCCGGGATACTTATCTGTGAGTTCCTTGAGGTTAGGAACTGTGTCTTATTTGCCACTGTCCCCAGTACTAAATATTCTGGCTGGCAAATAGTAGGCAAATATATATTGAAGTATCCAACAGCTATAAAAAAAACCACTGCCGTAGAGTCGATTCCAACTCATCGTGACCTCCATTGGGTTTCCAAGGTGGTAAATCTTTACAGAAGTAGATCACCTAGTTTTCCTTCCATGGAGTGGCTGGTAGATTTGAACCGCCAACCTTCTGGTTATCAGTCAGATCCCTTAGGCACTGTACTACTAGAGCTCCTTAACAGCTATAGATATGTTTATAGAATGAATTAATGATAGAGAAAAAGCTTTTTAATAGATTGGTAAGTGGAAAGACTATGTTATCAAATGGTACATGCAGTGTGATTCCAAGTTTGTAACTGAAAAGTGGTTTTTGTCTATATTTGCATGTTTGTTGTTGTTGTTATGTGCCATCAAGTCAGACCTGATTCATAGAGACCTCTCCTTGGGTTTTCGAAGCAGTATCACTATGGAAGTAGATTGCCCAACCTATAAGGTTATATGGAATATAGGGGGGGGCTGACTTTGCAGAGATGCAGTCCATGTAGTTGTGTGGTTTTCCTCCAGTAGATGGCAGCAGCTGGAAAGTAAAAGTGGTGAAGTCAAAAAGCTAGACTGACCAGGTGTTTAGAGTTTTCTGGAATGGGTGGAATTGAGAGCCAAGGCAGAAGGGCAGTAAGGGTACTGGACTAATTGGTTAAAGTGATGGACAGTGGTATCTGAGATAGATGAGGGTGGCGAAGATGGGAGTGTCAGAATATTGGTGGAAAATATTGCGTAAGTACATCTTAGGCCTTGTGGGACTGAGTGGTCTAGAATAGGGGATTGGGAGAACTTGGTAGAGCAGCTCTGATGATGACATTGGGTGGGGTTTGGCCATGGATGAGGGGCCTGAAGTGGATGACAACATTGGGTAGAGTTTGGCCATGGATAAGGGGGCTGAGGTGGATGATGACATTGGGTAGAGTTTGACCGTGGAGGGGGCTGAGGAGGATGATGACATTGGGTAGAGTTTGGCCGTGGATGAGGGGGCTGAGGTGAATGATGACATTGGGTAGAGTTTGGCCATGGAGGGGGCTGAAGTGGAGTGGAGCAAGTTCATAGTATTGAACTAAAATAATAATAATAATAATAATAAAATCTCTGACGCCAGATTTTGGATGGCTTATCCATAAAGACCTTTAAGTTGCCCGTTTCCAAAATAATTGAAGGAGAGAGGAATCCTCATGTTGAGCTGTCAAGGTCTTGGGTCTGTGGAAGATTGATGGGGAAGAGTCAGTGATTGACAGTGAAGAGGAAAGATGGAAGGTGACATGACACAAACATCAGAGGAAATGATAAACACATGGGGATTCTCACCAGACAAAGCACGGATCATTTTACTTCTGGGGCCTTCACATTCCCCCCCTAGAAATTCCTGTTATACCCTCAGCTTGAATTGGCAATGTGTGGGGAGTGAGTGGGTTAACAGTGTGTAAACATCTTTTACTAGCGCTTAATAGGAAGGAACAAGTCATGTATCGTACGGTTGTTTTAAATGTGTAATCTGGGGTAGCCCTCAAAGTTTGAAAACGTTTTTCTATGAGGCTGTCTATGGGCTCCTTATGAATGAAAAGAAATTGAATACATTTTGTCCAACAGCTCCAATGAAATCTTCTTCACCTGGGTATGCCTGACATTTAATTATCTGAGATAATAGTTATGTATTTTAAGCTTAGCCCTTACCTGGTTAGGGAGCTCTGGTGGTGCAGTGCCTAAGGCACTTGATTGCTAACCAGAAGGCTGGTGGTTCAAACCCACTCGCCAGTCCTCAGAAGGAAGGTTGGGCAATCTACTTCTGTAGTGATACCGCCTCAGAAACCCAAGGAGGGGTCGCTATGAGTCGAGTCCGACTCCACAGCATATAACAACAACAACATACCTGGTTGAGGGGGAAGCTGAATAGGCTAGGTAGGTAGCTCTGCAAAGTCCCTCCCTGGTTTAGCTTGCTATTGTATTAAAAATAATTCCAAGTATGTGAGGACAAATAGAAGAAACTTTCTTGCTTTATCTGCATTTTGCTGATAGTCTAGACATTTGCAATCCAACAGGAAGTTTAATACATTGCCTTTTTTTTTTTTTAATCTCATGACAGTTTAAAGTTCTGGGTCAAAGGTGGTATCTGAGTAGTTTTTATCACGCAACATCATTTAACTTCACAACGAAGGAACAAGCTCCAGTCGTGTGTTTAGATCTGTACCCAGCAACTGATTATACCATGAATATTACCCTGCTGGCATCTCGCAAGCAGCACTCAGTGAAAATCACAACCACAACCTCACCATCTGGTAGGTGTAGGTGTCTTTATATCTTTATACTTTGGACAACAAATGAAATGTATGATATTCTGGCTTGCAGAGTGTGGATCAATGATGGACTGCTTTATTCAGGGTTCTCTGTTAACACTTAGGTTGAGAATACTGTAAAGCCTCTTCCTCTGACCCCAGATTTAAGACAGACAAGCCCTTAGAGTTGTCCTTATGGGTAATCTAGAACCTGCTCCCCAGAGATCAGAAATACAAGCCCCACTATGTTGGGAACTGGCAGGACTAAGAGGCCTCAAGACTGTGCCGTGTATGAACACATTAACCCAACACAGAACAGTTGCCTCAGGAAGGTCAAGCTCCTTAGAAATTCTTCCTTTCCCTTGAGGCACTTTGAGGAAACCAAACAGAGATCATGGTATTAACTCCACAGCTTCCCCTACTAGAAGGGGACACAGAATCCTCTACAATTGTTTGTTTGCTTGTTTTTCTTTAATTCTTTGGTATTATAGCCAAGCCTATAGGTAACCAGGTGGCGAGGCTGCCCCTTTGGAAGAAAAACAACAGAAAAGTGTAGATCTTGCCCTTGCCTTCCTGGGACTTCCTTCTAGATGTCTACCACTGCTCTTTGTGGGTCAGGATTGGGCAGTTTGAACTTGGAAATTGGAAGGCTTTAAGGCCATGCAGCACCTAAGGCTGAAAATTAACTTTTTATTCTATTTTCCATCTCTGATCATGCCTGGTCATCTTGTACTAAGTATAACCTCATGACAGCACAAACATAACCCCCACAATATATTTCCAGTTAAATTATAATGTTCACAGTTTGATTACAAAATCCCTCTAATTAGTAGATCTCAGAGAAATTAAAGGCTGAATATTAAGTCCATTTCTCTTTGTAAATTAAAGTGTAAAGGCACTGAAGTTCCAAATTCTTTCCTCCCAATCTCTAACTCTGCTGAGTCTGAGGCACAGTGGCCAAACTGAATTGGGGAATACTTCTGGCTGTTGTATCTTAGAAAACTTGTTTTGTAATAGATGTTGCTCCTTTGGTAACTACAAAGTTGAGTTAATCTGATTCCATGTTTCATTTTCCTACTTCTCAATACTAGCCCCAGAGACAGAAAATTTAGAAAGCAAAAGCAAAATTAAAGGATGTTACATAATATTTGAATGTACTAAATGCTATTGAATTATACATTTAAAAATGGTTAATTTCATGTTACATGAATTTTATCTCAATTGAAAAATAAAGTCAGTGGGTTAGATTTGTTCTTCTTGGACCTGAGACTCAGTTACCTTCTGAGTGATTGTTACTTGACATAATACAAGTAAAATCCTTAGAACAGCACTGAGCAAATAACAGTAGTGGTGAGAATAATAGCATCATTATTGAGCACTAAATATGTGCCGAGTACTGTTCACCTCATTTGATCCTACTAAACCTTCTGAGGAAGGCACTCACATTATCCCCATTTTACAGATAAGGACACTGAGGTACAGGGAAGTTAAGCAACTTGTCCAAGACCATAGAGGTAGTAGGAATGCAACTGAGGTTTGAACACAGGGAGTCTGGCTCCAGTGAAATCAGTACATCTACTGCTTCTCAAAATCTATTTAGTTATTAAAAAAAAAAAAAAAGTAAAATGATGTCCCTCAAATCCAGTGCATGGTCAGGCTAAACTTGAGCAAGCATAAGAATCACCTGGAGGTTCCTGGGCCCATCCAGAGGTTCTGACTTAATAGGTCTGTGATGGAGATGGAGTTGCAATCTCTAGCAAGCTCCTGGGCCCTGGGGATGCCTCCAGTGCACGTTTCTAAGTAGCATTGCTTTAACCACGTAGACCTTACCATGTAGACCTCTCGATAAGTTAAAACCCTCATTTGCAACCCAGGCAGAAGCATAACTTAAAGAAAAGAAAAAAAAAACAAACAAAAAAAAAACCAAAATGTGGTAGCCAAAATAATTCTGTCTGTACATACCTAAGAAGCCTGTGTGTTGAAGCTCTGTGTGATTTGTGAAGGCATTTTCCTGATAATCTAGTATCTCCTTATCTGTTCCTGCAGTTCTAGCTCTAGAGACCAGAAGTGTCCATCTTTCCCATGGTGCTCCACTCCCTGTGGCAGCTCTTGCATTTATACTCAACATTCCAATCAGTAGCACGTCCACATTTTGCAGCTAGGGGAACTGAGTCCTTTTTTCTATTTTTTTTTTTTTAATTGTGATTTGGGTGGAAGTTTACAGAGCAAATTCACTTTCCATACAGCAGTTCACATACACTTTGTCTCATGACATTGACTACAATTTACTCCAATGCAAAAGCTCCCCTCCCACTTCCTCCTGATAGTTACCTCTACCCTGTGTCCATCCCTCCATGCACTCCTGCCCCCTGAGCACACAGCCCTTCTATTCTCCCATGATTGATCTCTCCAAGGAGTGTATCTACCTAGTGTAAATGTTTAGCTCATATGCCTGTGTTTTGTTTGGCTGGAAGCCACAGGAGTGGGTTCAATTCCAGACCTGAAGGACACCTAGGGGTCCTGTTCTCAGTGGTTCCATCAGGCTCTATCAGACCAGCAAACATGGTCCTTTTCTTTTCTTTTTTTTTTTAATGATTTTGAGTTTTGTTCCACATTGTTCTCCCACTCTATCTAGTATCTCCTACATTGATGCCCCTCTGAGTGGTTGACAGTGGTAGCTGGGTACCATCTAGTTCTTCTGGTCTCATAGTCATATAGGCTGAGGATCGCATGGTGTACCAATCACTTGGACTAATTATTTCCATGAATCTTTGGTTTTCTTTATTCTTCTTTGCTCTGGATAAGGAGTGACCCATCGTTGTACCTAGATGGCCTCTTGCAAGCTTTTAAGATCCCAGTTGCTACTTGCCAGAGTAGGAGGTGGAACAATGTTTTTATACTATGTTATGCCAATTGAGGTTGTTGTCCCCTTCGACTATGGTCCCAAGCCCACAGGTCCAACTACTTGTTCCTTCTGGTAGCTGGCTGTGGCCAAGAAGCAACTACAACCTTGTCCTTTGTCAGCTCTTCTATATACCTGGGACTTCTTACATAAAATAGCAATAAACTTGTAGAACCATTGTCTGCCAACCCTATACATGGTCTTGGGCACACTCAGGGGGGACTGAATCTTAACCATTCCTTCCCACTTGAAATTACACAGGACAGGCAGACAAGTGAGAATCAAAGTACCAACTTTGTTGATCTGGGCAAGTCCACAAGGAACTCCCTTCTCTCTTCAATACAGAGGTTCAGGTAAAGCTAAATTAGAGAATGAGGCTTAGATATGTGGCATAATGGGGTTTCCCACTCCCTTCTCTCCTGGAAATATGACACATTGGGTCTGCAAGAGAGCCTTGCCTGGCTTACCACTCAGTCTCTGCCTTAAAAGCAGAGGAAAGGGCAGTGGGCAGAAACTTGTTCCTACCTTCTTGGAGACAAGAGATGTACATGACCCTTGTACCTGAGGATGGGCAGGTCCCAGAGAGCAAAGGTCTACATATTTTGGGGGAGTTGTTGTTTTTAGGTGCTGTTGAGTTAGTTCCAACTCATAGTGGCCCTGTGTGCAACAGAATGAAACACTGCTCAGTTGTGTGCCATCCTCACAGTCCTTGCCATGCTTGAGCCCATCATTGCAGCCACTCTGTCAGTCCATTTCATTGAGAGACTTCCCTTTTTTTGCTGACCCTCCACTTTACCAAGCATGATATCCTTCTCCAGGGAATGATCCTTTCTGACAACATGACCAAAGTAGGTGAAATGAAGTCTGGCCATTCTTGCTTCCAAGGAACATTCCAGCTGCACTTCTTCCAGGACAGATTTGTTTGTTCTTCTGAAACTACCATGATACCATGGTATTTTCAGTATTCTTTGCCCACATCATGATTCAAAAGCATCAACTCTTCTTTGGTCTCCCTTATTCATTGTCCAGATTTCACATGCATATGAGGTGATTAAAAATACCATAGCTTGGGTTAGGCACACCTTAGTCTTCAAAGTGACATCTTTGCTCTTCAGCACTTTAAAGAGGTCTTTTGCCTCAGATTTGCCCAGTGCAATGTGACATCTGGTTTATTGACTGCTGCTTCCATGGGTGTTGATTGTGGATCCAAGATGAAATCTTTGACAACTTCAGTCTTTTCTCCATTTATCATGATGCTGCTTATTGGTCCAGTTGTGAGGATTTTTGGTTTCTTTATGTTTTATTTATTGTTTGAGCAGTGATCTATAATATATGAACCCCACCTACTAGGAAATGTGACCCAAGGAATGTAGTCTCACACCAGTGAGATCACATGTTTCTAATTCCTTCCTTGAGGATTAGTGAGTAAAGGGTGGAAGAGACCAGAATTGTCCTTTCCATTTTGGAAATGGAAAGACAGGTACATAACACGCTTTCATACATGTGAGCAAGGTACTTGACCTCTGTAATATTTAGAAGATTGAACAGAATGATCTGAAAGGCCCATTCTAGTTCTAGAAGTCTATAGTAGGAAACCAATTCAAATTACTTTTAAAGCAAAAAACCCAAACTCACTGCCATCAAGTTGATTCTGACTCATAGCAACCCTCATTGGCTTTCTGAGACAGTAAATCTTAAGGAAGTAGATTGCCCCATCTGCCTCCCACGGAGTGGCTGGTGGGTTTGAACCTCCAACCTTCTGGTTAGCAGTCATATGCCTTAGGCACTGCACATCAGAGTGCCTGCAAATTATTTTTAGGTTTGTTTACATTCATTTATTTCCACATCCAGATTTTTTTATTAATTTGCTCACTATCATTTCATTTATCTATTTAATTTCATATTCTTTTTATTGATATATACAACTTATTCATAAACTAAGAACATTAATCTTATTATTTGCATTGAATTGATTCTCATGTTTTTGTTTCTTTTGTTTTTTTTATGGTGTTTTTGACACAGAGAAGTTTTAGATTTCTACTCACTTCTATTGATCTTTTCTTTTGTGGTTGATTACATTAATATTAAAGATAGAATTTTT